ATATATACATATATATATATATATATATATATATATATATATAAATTTATATAGAGAGATATATTTTGTATAAATTTTAAATAAAGTTTGTTTTTCTTAGTTTTATATTTATAAATGTACATCATTAATATCTCATGAGACTATTCAAGTAGTAATTTTCAGCTAATGATTCCATACATCGTTATGTCATTAAAGAGCGAAATATGAGCGAATGAAATAATAAAAAAAAAAAAAGAAAAAAAGTCTTTTGAGAGAAAGAAATGTTTCTTCTAACGCTTGTCACCCAGAAATTAAAACTTTTTAGAGTATTTATTTTTAAACAAAATCATTTTGTACAACATTACCGGCACATTATCTGTGTCAAAAATATATTCAGTGTAATTGCTAAAACCCTTTTCCGATAGCATTTTAGAAACATTTATTTTATTCAAAAGAATGTGTATTTCCCGGCACATTGTTATCGCTAATCCGCTTACAGGAACGATATCCTTTGCATCACCCGTCCATCAATAGATCCAGTTGGACATTTAAAACACGCTATTTATCTTATTGAAAGGCACAAAAGTCTGCTCAGCTAAGATCGCTAAATAGTGAATAAGAATACTTGGCGAGCGAATTGAAATTGACGAACGCGTGGAAAGCTTATGGCTCTCGTCTCTGCGAATTCGCCAGATTAATAATTAATTCTCGGCTCGTTCCTCTTTTTAGCGTGGGTGGGCCTGGGCCTTGGCCTGCAGCTGTAATAGACCGGCGAGTGCGCCGGTGAATCCGGCGTTATAGTCGAGGGTGACCTCCGTGTAGACGTAGTCCTCGCGACGGTCGTGGAAGCGGTCGGCCTCGTCGGGACCCGAGACCAGGGCCCCGTACAGAACCTGGGGATTCGGAGCGTTGCGGTCGAACTCGGACCATCCACAGGCAGTGGGCTTATCCGGGCACGAGGAGGCGGCGTGATGAGGCTGAGTCGGGGGGTTGTGACCCCAGCCAACCACGTAACTCCGACCTGTAAGTGTAAAAATTGTCTTCTATAACGCCACCAAGTAAGAATTTCCTTTTTATTTGATATATACATATATATATATATATATATATATATATATATATATATATGTAATGTAAAAGTTATGGGCGCTTTTTCTAAGGGGATGCTATATCCATAAGAGTTTCGAGGAAGTTGTCGCGTCGTCGGGGCTTTTCAAAGTTAAATAATAGAATTGCTTTCGTGTTCGTGGATGTTAAGAGAGCAGCATTGACAGTTTTTTTAAAGGTAAGATTAATATGTTTAATTATTGTTTGCCTTTTACGAACGTTTGGATAGGAAAATTTTCTCTACTTATTTAATGTATCGTTGATATTTAAAATAAATAATGTAAAACGCATAAAATGTTGATAAAATAACTTTGAGCAGCAAGATACTGATTTGTCCTCTTTAGGTTAGATATTTTCATTTCAATTCGTATATCAAAATTTTGCTACAAACTAATATACTCAAAATTAATATTATGAATTATATTATCTCTATAATAAGATAAGGCAGAGTTTATCGTCTTATTATCTAAATACGGTATCCGAAGAATTTACGCTATTTTCTCATGCATATACATATATATATATATATATATATATATATATATATATAGCGAATCTGGGTCATAAATGTACCATATTTGATATGGTATTACATTTTTATTACATTTTCTCATAATTCTTCCTTAAATTTGAAAATTCTACTTCAATATACAGTTCTCTCAAATGATATGCAACGATACGTTTATATCATATAAAATGAAATAGTTAGTTTTATTGTAGCTTCGTTAAAAAACAGATTTTAATGACGTTTATTCGTCCGTTATATAGAATAAATTCATTCATTATATTTGATAAAACTTAATTTTGTTTATATATGTAAAATAGTATTTGAGTAGAAGTGTGAGTAGAAGCGGCGATAATAAATAATTTTAAGTATTTTACAGGAAATGTGAATTCACCGAAATTCCGTAAATTAATGGAAATATGCACTTTAATGCATTTTAGTGAAATTAATTGATATACTTTAGTTCTGCTTTGAACATATTTTATTAATGTAAGTGTAATCCATCATTTATTTAATATTTAATTCGCTGGAATTATATAATTGCAATAGTCTTGATTTAATATGTTATAACTGCATATTTACTGAATAAAGTTGTTCCAATAAAATTGTCAAATGGTGTGAATTACAGCTTTGATCGGCTTAGAAGTATTTTAATGCTACATAATTACACGTGGTATTGCCACCTACTACACCGTCTATTGGCTATTATGACATTTTTGCAATTAATTACGGTTATATTGTTCTTAACATTGATTCAAAACTTTTATCAAATTCCCAAAGTATTACTATTTTTCTTTTTTCTTTTTTTCTTTTTTTTTTTCTTTTTTTTCTTTTTTTTCTTTTTTTCTTGTTTTTCCTTTTTTCTATTATTTTTGTATGTTTTTTTTTGTTTTTTTAATAAAAAAACTTTAAATGAAATAAAAATTTCTCTCATCTATTTGTGCGAAATCACTTTCTTTGAATTGACATTGCGATGCTCGTAGTACCGATTCAAATGAACTCCAATCGTTTTAAATACAAATGTTTATCACGTAATGTTATACGCATTTTCTCCCCGTAAATTCTTACCGCAGCTCGCATAAAGACACATGGATAAGAAAAATAATACAAATAATACCGTTGACAAAGTCGACGTGAGCGTGAACAGTCCACTGCTCGTGTGAAAATCTATTTGCTAAACATTAAATTCCCGAAGCATTGATGGGCAAAGACAAATGGCGCGCCTAGTTCTTCCAGACACTCGGGGTAGCTCCTCTACTCTCGCTGCTAATAAAAATTAATGGATAGGCGAAAATTGAAAATAAAACTCTTTCATCCTCGGATTGACCGCATTAGTAGCCGGCCGTATAAATCGGGCGCTTCGCATATTTCGAATAAGTCGAGAGGCAAAATCGCGCTGCGCCACAATTACGAAAGATACAATGACCTGCTCCTCCGAGTATATAGTGAATCTGCTGTTTGGCAAACTCCCGATACTCTTGAGGGTCCCCGATGTCCGGATAATCAGCGGCCTGCAGACAGATGAAGGCGACATTGGCCGCGTGGCAGAGGGTCCCGAATTTGTCGATGTACAGCAAACCCTTGGGTGTCCGTTTCTGCTGGCGCACGGAGAAATTGCAAAAGGCCTTGGCTGCGTTGCGATATTCCTGTTGGCCGGTCAATTGTGCGAGGAGTACCTGCAGGCATAGCGGCAAGTGTACTTTTCGTTAGCCGAAGAGTCGGCTATTAGCTTATCCTTATTTCGTTGGTTTTAATAATTCCTTTAAAGCGCCGCTCGCGGAATAAAAATGAACGATTTCGTTTTTTAATCGGTAATTCTTTCATCTCCTCTTATCAACTTCGTTTTCCGATTTTTACATAAAAGCACACTCTTAAGCCATTCGCATTTTGGCGAGGAAATTAACTCGGAACTATTCAACTCGGACATGAAATTGAAATGTTGGCCAGCCGAATAGTATTATTCGCCAAGTAATATCGATAATTTCGAACGACACGTCAGTTACGAGCTTCTTAACATAGCTTCGTTGCGAGAAAATTAGTTTTATTCGACACTGTCGCCTCGCGAGATGTATTTTTCATGGTCTCCAGGCCCCCAAGGAGAAAACGATTCATTAAGGACCCGTGTCCTTATTACGGATGCATCGTGTCCCGCTCAATTTTCATAAGTTTGCATTAGAAAGGGCTAGGAAGTTGCAGCCATCGTAGGATTGAATGATTAAACGACCATAAGATTAAAAGATCATCAACGAACCTGAACCCCGGCAACCTTTTTATTATAGAAGAACTCGTTGGGTCTCTCCCGCAGATGAAAGTGTTGGTAGTGGTGCTCGGCCTCGTCGAGATACTTCGTCTCATTGCTGGCCTTGAACAGCCAGGCCGCGGCCCAGGCGAGCTCGTCCCCGTAGTCGGTACTCTCGTAGTACTGGGCGGCGCCCCTGATGGCCTCGTGATAGAGTCCCCTGTGCACCTTGGCAAAGTTGTAGAGCTCCCGGGCGTGCCGAAGGAGTTTATCCGCGTAGTCGGGGTCGACGGTGCGGAACAGGAGGCTCGTCGAGGCCAGGGCCGCAGACGTCTCGCCGGCTAAATCCGAGCCTGAGGATGTATAGAGTGTACTTTAAGGGGGAGTTGCTCTTGACATTCGTTGGATAAAGCTTTTGAATTATCGCATTCCTTTACTTTTAATCGCGGACTGATTACGAATTGCGCTCGTTAAAGTCGTTTCTCTGCTAATCGAATTCCCAGCCTGTTAGCAATGCATTATGTTGATCTATGATTTATGGAACGATCTCTGTGTAATTAGGTGAAATGTTTTTCACATCTGTCTCTATATAATTTTTTATATCATTAACGCATAAGGTTGTTCAATCACCGAGAACTTCATAATAATCTACCATAATCGAGTTGTTGAGTTGAGTATTCGGATGTGGCATCGTAAGCTCCCTGTACCTTAAATGATATTAATTATGCGTATGTCGAGGAACTTTGCTCCTACCTCTATTTTACAATTTATCCCTTTAGAATGTAAAATTTGACGGTTACGATTCGTTGTTCGGAAGAATTATATAGAATCGTATAAAAATTATGTATGTGATAAAGACATTGCAACTTTTATAAATCAATGTAAAATCAGCAATTCATAGGAATTCATAATGATTTAGCATTTTCCATTTTCTATAAATACTTAATACCTTTGTTTTTGTTATTGTTTTTGTTGTTGTTGTTGTTGTTGTTGTTGTTGTTGTTGTTGTCGTTGTATGCTTATATATGTTTGTATTATTCTGTTTCTTTATGCAGTGGCTTGGCTTCCTAAACATAAATTCCTACTCGTCGCAATGAAAATTGAACGGCTTACTACAGCATAACTATGTCGATTAACCGAATGAAAAATGAAGAATCTACATACGGCAATTAAAAATAAATCAACTTGACATAATATACTAGTAATAAAACAGTAATTTCATCTCTCTTCATACGTTTTCCTCATTCTTATTTTACGTTTATGAATGCTAATAAATGCAGTCGATTATTATTTTTGCTTTCTTTGGAGCACATTAAAGCCACTGCCATTGAGTATTTGCTTTTTAACAAATAAGATTCATATTAAATCGATAATGTCTATAAATAATAGTACGCGCCGAGAAAGCAAAAATGCCAATATCCAATGTGAATACTCGTACGTATCAGAATATATATTTGTAATTAGAATGTACAGCGGGCAGTTTTCTCATCTATTTTTGGGAACGAAAATACCATTTCGAATTAATAACCTTTTGCAACTACGCAACAGTGCGAATTTTTATTAATCTATACGTAAATCTCGGATTTACGTGAGGGAGCTCCGTTGCGTTTCCTCCCCCATATTCGCATTCGCTCGACGACTCAGTCGTCGTAATTGCACACGGCACAATTTGCAATACCAAGCGAATCGTTGAAGTGGAGCCTGAGTTCTGAGTTGGAAAAGCGTAGATCGCTCTTAAGCCTCCTAAAGCCTTTTCTCTCCTTCTATAAAGAGAGATGAGAAAAGTCGGTGGTAAGTATTCACCTGGGTGCTCCGGGTCGATCTTGAATACGGGCCTGCTGGTGTTGAGTTCCTCGGGTCGGCCCCAGAAGGCGTGGTCGACGGTGAAGTCGCCGACCTGTCCGTAAAGGACGTTTTCGCTCACGTGGCACTTGATGAAGTAGTCGGTGGCCCACTTCAAGGCCTCACGGATCACGTCCAGCTGGCCGAGTCTCGCGTAAGCTTCGGGCCAACTGACGGCCCCCCATGCGAGTAGCGTCGTCGTCGAGGCCATTGTGAAACCGAACTTCACAAAGTCGCCCGCTGAAAGTGCATTTTATTAGGATAACGTCCATGGCGTGAGTTACTCTAATATCCTGTGGATCGAGCTTGTAAAACATTAATCTCAGGCTCATCCTCTTACTTCCATTCGATGATTTATTTTACATTTGCAGCCGAGTCTACGGTTTATTCGGCTTTCACTCTTCCGCTTTTAGTCATTATCCTTAATTAAGATAGCTAGTCGTCAAAAGTACGCGTTACGTTTAATAAATGCAGCTTTGACGGCTTTTACGTTTTTAAGAACGGTTTGGTCGATTAAGATTACATTAAAAATTTGAGCGAAAATTAAATTTAATGAGATTGGGAAATGTTTAGCGATATCAATGTGGACTCTTCAATTCAGAATAAATAAATAAATACATAGTCGATATAATTTTGATTATTCGCGCTTTTCCAGATACGTGCGTTAGTATTGAAAGTCTTGATTAACCGAAGCACGAGGATATAGCATCGGAAGCATCTTTTTCTATTTTCTATTTTAAATTAATATCACCGTCGATAATACCTATCTAATACAATTAATAATTAAATTTACAAACATTTTTGTTAATCGATCATTTTAGATAAACGAAGGTTAATAGAAAGTTTCTTTCTTTTTACTTGGCAACGAATCCATTCCGCAATGGAGGCTGAATTTTTCAGATAATACACAGGCAAATGAACGAGAGTAATGTGACAAAGAAACGAGGAAACACAACATAATATCGCTCACTTTCAATGACGAAACGAAGATTTAACGCGTCTACGCTAAGCATCACGAGCAAAGCCAGATATTTTATTAATAATCGACGAGATAAAGACACGTTGGCGTATTTCGTCGTGAAAATTAATCGAGTCAAGACCGAAATATTGTGGTTTGTCAGGGAAGGTGATTGGAGGGAAAAAGGAACCGATAAGGCTCCAATGTCTAGTGTGACTTGCGGGATCTGGGACGTGGGCCTCGGATCGAGTCAGGCTATTGATAAAATTGGACTCGGAAGGGAATTACCGTCGTAATAGCCGCCGGTGAGGTCCTCGCCGTCGTCACCACGGTCGTCGAGTCCGGAGTCTCCGCGCCAGGCAATTCTATTATCGGGTGCAAGCTTCCCCGAGCGTTGCGCCTCGTAGAACAGCAGCGAAAGCTCCAAAACCCTCGCGTAGTCGCTATCCTCTTCGATGGGTCGGACGTAGCGATGGTAGGATGAGGTGACGATCGCCCGCTTGTCGATGGCCGCCGGTGTAGTCGCCACCAGGAACTGTACGATAGGCGAATGGTTATCGGCGCTCTGCTTTCTTTGAGTTTGAGAAATGAGAAGCGGGGCGCGATCCCGCCAGTTCCACGAATCGATCGCTTTTTCTTTCGCTGCACCGATAAGTCCGAGATTTATTACCTTGGCGCTAAACGATTATGTTTGCATGTGAATTTGATTGGCCCTTGGGCAGCAAGTTTTCGAACTTCAATCATCTCTAAAATTGATTTTCAAAGAGTCATTAATTTTTGTTTGATTGTCCCGACTTTGCATGACTTTTTTATTCAGAAAATTATTAATTTCCATAAGCGGTAAATTTTTAATTTATCGTGTCGAATTTATCTGGCATTTACTATTCAACGTTACGATTAGTCACGAATTTCTAGACGACGAAACTACGATTAAACCTGCAGACTAAGTAATTTTAATAGGATTGGCCCACTTTATGAAATTCATTACCAAAGTCGTAATCGCTGTTTTTTCACGTTTTCTCTCCTTCTTCCAATGCACCTTAAATAATTGTCATAAATCACGATAAGCTCTATTAATCAACATTTTATTATGTTCTTAGCAAGCTTATAAATTGTATACGTTGAGTACTGAAGCAAAACACTTAAAAATTCTTTAGATATATATATATATATATATATATATATATATATATATATATATATTAAATCTCGACAAATTCATCATAATATATTGAAAGTAACGTATTGTCTCTCATATCAAATAAAATTTGATTTTTTTTTATTGCTTATGTAAATTTGACATCCGTCGTTGTTCAGCAGCAATGAATATAAAGAATCGGGTACGCGCCACCAAGTCGAAAAATCAAATTGGCGAGCTTGCAAGGACTATCGATGCTTACAGCATCTCACAGACAAACGAATTCGCGATTCTCACTTGCGAGAAGTGTTATTTCATGCGACAAAAGCTTGCCGTAAACGAACTAGGAGCGTACGAGCGAGCGAAACATTAAATGGAATGCGAGAGCGGGCACTTAGGATCGGTAAATGACAGGAGGAGAAACCAACATATTACACGATGTCTTGGTTATTTGCGCAACATATTGACGTTTGTCAAATAGTGTCTGCACGCAACAACGAGCGAACTCTCTGATTTTCCGAGAAACGGAATGCGGAACGAAAATACGACATGAAATACGATAAAAACAAAGACATATAGTTTCCCCATGCTGAACGCTGCACTTTATTTACATTTATTTTTCGTACAAATGTATCATCGGGACATAATTACCGTTATGAAACGTTCTTTCTATGAAATACCATTTCTTTTTTTTTTTTTCATCGTCTGTTGAAAATGTTAACTTATATTAGTACCGAGTATTTAAACATTTTATGCCGACTTTTGCAAATACTTATAACCAAAATTCTAATAATGATGAATAAATAGCATACTATCTTGTAAAAATGCAATAAATTGTAATATATCGTATCTTTATCAGTGTTGACAAAACTAAAATTGATAAATTGAATTTTATAACAACTGAATCAATCATTTTCCCCAGTGTGATTATAACAGTATTAATTTATATTGTTTAAAAAAAGAATTTAGAGAATATTTGAAATATAAGAGAAAAAAGTTGAAATTAAATTACAATTTCAACGCGACCGAATGAATAAATATTCTGTGAATACGTAATACTGCCCAACAAAACTGGTTTACAATTTGTTTTTTGTTTTTTTGTTTTTTGGTTTTACTTTATTTCATCGCATGCCTTATTTCTAAATGTATTTTACGCCTAATGAAACAAAAAAAAAAAAAAAACAAAAAAAAACAAAAAAACAAAAAAAAAGTTAAAGCATTTTGTATTATTTAGCAATCATAATTAATAAACTAGTACATTAATTTTATAATGTAAAAAAATTCATATTATCTTATAATTATGATTTAATGAACCGATTGTTTGTGAGTCCTGATGAATTTTTCATAATATTCAGTTTGAACATTAAACAAGAAACATCAATATCATTTTAATTCAGATATTTTTAATATTTATTACTTTAGAAGCAAATTACTCACCAATCATACAAATTTTATTCTTAAACATTAATCTATGATTAAAAAAAGTGATTTTTAATAACAATATTTATATGGGCATAATTTTTTTTTTTTTTTTTTATTGTTAACTGAATATGTGGTCATAAATCTAATGAAATATTTCTTACGGACAAGATTATTAAACATTTTATTATATAAACACGGTATTATTTTTAGATGGGAAGCGTTAATAGTTACAATTCGCCGTGAACACACACACACACACACACACACACACACACACACACACACACACACATATATATATATATTATATATATTAATTTTTATATAATTTAACTATAAGCTAGGTGTTCGGAAAATTTAAAAATCATAAAGGTAAATGTAAAGACTCGAGAGGAGTTGGTGTTTTCTCGATTAAATAAAGCTGTCGTATATTTTTCCCGAGTTGTGAGACTACAGAAGGGTTTTCAAACTGAACTGACAAACTTGCACGAAAGGTCTCCAAGTACAAGTAGAGCATAACTGTTCTGTTAACCGAGCAGTCGCTTGGAAAGCTTCCACAAATCTATTATACAAAAATTTCCCCTATTACGGGGAAACAAGAGGGATAAAATGGTAAGTAGTATCGAACCTCCTTTGAAAAATGGCCGTCGTCTCGGTATAAAACTTTCGCTTCAGTCCCCTCCATTCGCATTAGCTCAAGTCAGGCAAAGAAAAAAGGACGCGTGGAGGAAAGAGAAGTAGGCGATCCTCTCAAAAGCGCAAAAATTCCCGGTTAACTCACCGTGACGCACGTGACGAAGGCACTGGCTTTCATCTTTCTTTATTGTTCGATCTCTTTCCTGTGAGAGGGTCCACTGTCCACTGTCGGCCCTCGTCACGCTCAACTTGTTCACCGAACAAGATTGTTGCCAGTGAAATCGAATACAGCAACAAGGGCCACACCTCCGGGCTGCGTTATCACTAGTCCCGATAGTGAGCTCCCGCCTGTCCGACACATCTCTTGAACTTCTGCCTCGGCTTCGAGCTTTGCAGTGACACGAAAAGAAAATTAGTTCAACATGCTTTTAGTCAATTAAGTATTGTTTGATTATATTCTCTGAAACTTTTCGAGATTTTCGTTTATTGATAAAGTGATAATTAAAGGCTCTATGCAATATAATTTAGTAAATTGCTTTTAGATTTTGAGAAGGCGTAGTTTGAGAAACGTGAGTTTTTTCTATGCCAAGAATTTTTCAATTATTAACTGTTTAGCCGTTCATTATTACACGCATTTTTAAAAAGTATATAACATTGAGGCATAATGAGATGAGAAATCTAATATAAATGTTTGAAAATGTAGTTCAATTAGACGATAGCAACTTTTAACACTGAACTTGACCATTTTTCTATATTTTTACAGCCTCTTATGATAATGTATAATCAAGTCTATTTCCTAAATAAAATGAAAGCATCTTTTATTATATTAAATAAATATTATATATTTATATTTACACAATATTGTACATATTTTATTTATCGTAAATACTTGCTGTATGAAGCATACAGCTATTTGTTACACTGGCCATTTTCATTTATGAAAAAGTTTCTTTTTATTTATCATTAAATATTGTATAATAAAATTCTATAAATAATTATAAATAATGAGAATGTTATTGTTATTAGACGGATATCTTGTTTGGATGGTATATAAATACACAATAGAATTATCTGCGTCAAGCCATTTAATGTGTTTGAGCGTTGCAGGTAGTTTTAATATGCGCAAATTATTTGAATAATATAACGTTTCAAGTTAATTAATAAATTAATTCATTGCATTAAATTAAAAATTGTTTCGATTAAAAATTTAATAAATTATTTGCTGTAAATTGTGATGTGGGTTCTCGTTCATTATGAAAAAATACAATTGCACAATGGAAAATTTTATGCAAAATTATTATTGAAATAATATTGAAATAATTATCAAATATAATTTTTCATCGAATATTAACAAATTTCTTCCGCTCATAAAATCTTAATGAACAGAAAAATGGATGAACCTCAGTTATCCGCTAAATCGTAATTTTATTGTATTACGTCCTATCATTCTAAAATAAATTTTCTCCGACACTTTAATATTCTGATTTTTTACCTTTAAATTGATTGTAGTATATTGTAGATTATGGTACCATTGGTGGCACTATTTTATATTCAGAAACCATTATAGTGAAATTCCTTTAATGTTCGATGAAATTAATCCTAATCAGCAAATAAAAGTAACGATTTGTTAATGGCTTAAAGTAATACTGAGTAAATATAAAATTTATTTTAAGGGTCACCGCTTCATTTGCAAATATGCACTTAATTTATGCTTTCGAAGTCTTTCGAAATATGTGATATTTGAATAATATCGATTACTTTGAATTTTTTTATTTTTTGTCTTGTCAGAAATTTTGTTTAAATTAGATTTTTTAGGCTTAATCATAATAATCACTAAATTGCGAATTAATTCAGATTTTGCGTGCGAGATTAATTAATTCCTTTAAAAATTATTAAATTAATAATTGTAATAGGATCATTTGATATAAGCCGCTCGTTTCTAATCTTTCAAACGTTTATTCCCTTCCAAAAACATTCGATATCTCTAAACAAGATGTTCTTTCACTCAGTCAGTTCACAAATAATAATAGTTGTTCCAACAAAACTTTTACTCCGCATTACAACGGCGAACTTCGAGATCCAGTAATTCATGCAGTAATTAAGAATAGATTTTTTTCTTATCTTTCGTCAGTCGAATAATTTTGCCAATATCGTAATAATTAAAATTAATTGAAAATAAAACATTTCTTTCTAGATTATATAATTAAGCAAATAAATATAAGGTAGGGATTCAATTAATTTACATATCCAATGATAAATTATCGTCAGGACTCGTGTTACATGTAAATTTATAATTAATTACATAACCGAAATTACTACTACTACTACTACTACTACTACTACTACTACTACTACTACTACTACTACTACTACTACTACTACTACTACTACTACTACTACTACTACTACTACTACTACTACTACTACTACTACTACTACTACTACTACTACTACTACTACTACTACTACTACTACTACTACTACTACTACTACTACTACTACTACTACTACTACTACTACTACTACTACTACTACTACTACTACTACTACTACTACTACTACTACTACTACTACTACTACTACTACTACTACTACTACTATTATTATTATTATTATTATTATTATTATTATTGTTATTATATTTATCTATATAAAATAGATTTAAAAATAATTATTTATATATCATATATAACTTGTGAAAATTAAAAAATTTATAGATTTAATTTTTGTAGAATATATGTGCAGATGTATAATGATTAATATAAATGTGTGTAGGTCGTAAATTTACGTAGTTTATTCAATCGTCGATGCATCTGCAATTTAGAATAAAAGCAATAGTAATCGGTAATTTATAATTATATAAATTGAATAATGAATTTATCTTGTTCAATCGAAGCTTTCAACTGATTGTTGACTTATTTATTGATATAAACACGGTTCGGTACTGTATACGTGTTTCCACGAATTGCGTATATATCGAAAATTAGAGAAATTTTATTATTAAGTAACGTGGCATATGTAGTTGGAAGAATAAATGTTGAAAGAGTAAGTGCTGTGTGTATAAGCGGAAGCTAGAAGAATATTCTTCTCGATATTAGAAAATTCTTTCTCTTGATCAATACGTATTATTATTACAACAACAACTACTACTACTACTACTACTACTACTACTACTACTACTACTACTACTACTACTACTACTACTACTACTACTACTACTACTACTACTACTACTACTACTACTACTACTACTACTACTACTACTACTACTACTACTACTACTACTACTACTACTACTACTACTACTACTACTACTACTACTACTACTACTACTACTACTACTACTACTACTACTACTACTACTACTACTACTACTACTACTACTACTACTACTACTACTACTACTACTACTACTACTACTACTACTACTACTACTACTACTACTACTACTACTACTACTACTACTACTACTACTACTACTACTACTACTACTACTACTACTACTACTACTACTACTACTACTACTACTACTACTACTACTACTACTACTACTACTACTACTACTACTACTACTACTACTACTACTACTACTACTACTACTACTACTACTACTACTACTACTACTACTACTACTACTACTACTACTACTACTACTACTACTACTACTACTACTACTACTACTACTACTACTACTACTACTACTACTACTACTACTACTATTATTATTATTATTATTATTATTGTTGTTGTTGTTGTTGTTGTTGTTATTATTGATACATAAAATTATTTTTGGAATATTGTTTAGATACTATCGTTATCATTCTTCATTCAACGATGTTTATTATATAGTAGTAGTCACTTTTATGGAGCTGATGATTGAATAATTTTTTTGAAAACGGTTCTTCAATCACTTAAAATCAGTAATACGATTAACATCATTTTAATTTTAGCGGACATTTATATAATTGTTTCGATATAAATATACGCACAAAAGAAATTGTGTTGAGTGAATATTGCGCTTATACACTAATGTAGATAATTTAAAAAATGTACAATTACCAATTAATAGAGGAGAAGAAATGTTCGATATATCTTGAAATGCAAATGAATTGTTGGATTGTCGAAATGAAATTTTCATTTAAATAACATAATACAGAGAGTTTGAAATTACATTTTTTTGCTCATATCCGCAAATTGGCGATGGAATAACTCTAAATGATCGAAGAAAAGTCGACGCACGAATCCTCTGTCCTGTGTATACACACATGCATAAGGTAAACGCGGTAAGAATAATAAATTCCGTGAGTTCCCGAGTCGATGCGCCTATCGTTACTTGTTGTGAAGCAAAAGAGCGAACGATTGTACGTGCATGGATGCAGTTGTTGTATTATATTCCTCTTCCACAGTGGAAAAATGGTCGATCTTTGATTAATCCTCGGCGAATTGTGAGCCACAGTCCATTAATGCTGGAGAAACCACTCACTCGTATTGCATTCTATGCGAAACGACGGCAATTAAGTGATAGGATGCGAAATAATATTGTTAACGCAATATTAATCGCGATAGATCGTAGAAGTAAGCGTGGCGTTAAGACTAATTAACTAATAAATTAATAAAGAAAGACTAATTATCGCGGATGTATCGTGTGGGTGGTTGTGCCGGTGGCAGTTACAATCGAGGCAACCAGACAATTAATAATACGGTGCGCGTGTACATGCACGTACAGTGAATCTGCATGTACGGACGTCAAGGCGGCGAACACGTAACTCGATGGTATTATAGTATATGTTGGAGAGTCGACTGGACTCGTCACTGTGAGAGTTGAACGTCTGAAGCTTTGGTGGCCTGAGCGCAGAGAACATGAAGTGGGGATCGTGACGATTCCGTACTCTATCTATCTCTCTCTCTCTCTCTCTCTCTCGCGCACGCACGCACGCACACGCACACGCACACAACGCTCTCGATCCTTTATTCATCCGGTTATGGAGAAATAAATAGAAAGATCAATAGATGAATAGATGGAAAGATAGATAAATTGAAAAATAGATTAATCGATCAAACTATAGATAGATACATAGGGAGAGAGAGAGAGAGAGAGAGAGAGAGAGAGAGAGAGAGAGAGAGAGAGAGAGAAAGAGTTAGATGGACAAGGACAGATAATACAAGTTTTGCATCTTACACAAATACTTATTTGCAAATATTTTTGAGACTAATTTATTTTACAGTAAAATTATTATGTTATTCCGATTAATTTAAGGACACGTTACTTTACGCAAATGTTTATATATACAAAAAGTAGTTTTATATTATAAATCATCGTCTATACTTTAAATACGAATAAAACAATCGAGAATGTAATTTTAACTTATTATAATTTTAATACATTTTGCTAATTAATTTGTAACGAATGTCCGAAAATTTCACAAATTATTGTAAAAATTTGAAATAACGGATTATTCCACTTGTAAATCATTTTCATTAGATGAATACGAAGCACAATTGCATAAAGTACTTTTAAAATTCTTATTTAAAATATATTTTCCTATTTTTATAATCAAGCTATAAAATATTGCTGATCAGTTAATTTTAATATAATAGTAAATGTGCTGTTACTTTTCTAATGTCCGAATATAATTTCATAAGATTAATTAGTTTTGAAATGCTCGATACTTTGAATTAGTATATAATTTTGATTGTTGACGTACGTATTGATTTGTTGATTGAGAATCAAATAGCAGCGCTATACATTTCAAAATTACATACCGAGTAATGTTTGGTTGTAACGTACATTATTAAGTCTCTCTAATTTGCATTATTATCATAGATTGAGCTTTATTGCTGGACACGGTGATTGAATTAGATTTATTGCAACATATTTTGTACATTTATTGTGACATATAATTAAAATAGCTTGCATAAAAACTCGAGTACAAGAATCTAATTCGATATTTTCTGCAGTTATTACATTCAGATTTGGAAATATCGTATTAATAATATAATATGTTACAAAGAGTAAGTACTGCGAATTATTATTACTATTTTTTTTTTCTTTCAAGTATTTATATGTAAATAATGAGCTATAGGTTGGCTGCAATAATATTGTGCCCTTATCATTGGTAAATATATTAAATAATTAATTTTGTTTCATCATCTATTATTAGTATCATCTATGCCAATTTATTTCAATTTTATAGTAAAATTCTGTAATACATTGAATATGCGAAAGTTTCGTATGGAAAACGAAGGTCCTGCACGTAAAATTGTTCATTTTCACATAATACAGTAAATTTGCCGTGTTATTTATAAACTCTTCCAATTAGTTCTTTAAAAGCGCGTTATAAGTAAATTTTTAATAAACATAAAGTTATTATCTGTACATGCAAAAGTCTTTCATTAATTAAAAAAAATTGCTATAAATCTCATATTTACGAATTAACCGTTTCCGTTTGTAGTTGCTAAAATAGGAGAAAGTTAATAATTAATAATTATTTGAAAATAATGCTTTTTTTTTTTAATGAATTTATAACAAACAAAATTTTTTAAACTAATTTATACTCGCAAATAATTAATGAATATATAAATATAAGACATTACCTACACTTATTGGTGGTGAGAGGATATTTCGTTAATAAATTCGCTGTGTAGGTAGAATAGAACCTTAGTAACTTAATAACATTCAATTATTATTAATTTTTCTTTCATAAATTCGAAAATTTTATCAAATTTGTAAAAGTGTTAGATTTCTAAATTTTCGTAACTTGCAAAAACGAAGGAGACCAAACACACGAGCAAAGCCGATTATACTTTATACATAAAAAGTAGCTTTTAATAAAACGGCAATTTTAACTATATAATTTTTAATATTTTCTTATTATTTGCCATTATGTAAGAAGTTAACAAATAATTATTTATTTCAGAGTGCAACGAATGAAAGAATACCAGAGTTTTACATTCTACATTAATCATAATAGCACCAAATGAATTAACACGTAAAATAATTTAAAGTCCCACAATTATTTAGAGTAGTACGATCTGATAGTCTAACATGACATAATAGAAAATATCAATAAATAATGGTCAAGGTATTAGTATTACGTAACATGACAAGTCTCTCTTGCACATGTATGTTATTCACGTGCGTCTAAACTCGATCGGAAATGTGAGCTCCCACTCTTACTTCGTTACAGGTTTACTTTCACCACAAGTCTCTTCTGAATTGACTCTCTTATGACTTTACATTATTTTTTTTAGCTTCTTTTTTACAGCCTTTAGCAATTGCATCGACTACGTTAATTCGTATGTCCATTAATGAATAATAATAATTAGGAAGAAGCTTATGTGACAATGTAAATTGCTCTAGTAAATATTATTCTTATAAATTTTTTTAAATAAAAATTACAGGGGCTACTAATTTAAGAGCATCTGCGTATAGTTTTTTTTTTTTTTAATGCTAAATAATCTTGAATATTGTTTAATGTATGAGCATATATTTTAAAAAATTTTACATTTATTTACAGCTTTTCTTTTATAAAAAAAAAAAAAAAAAAAAAAAAAAAAAAAAAAAACATCTTAAATGCCAATATTTATAGTTTTGTACAAAATCTTATGAAACATAAAAATTCACAACAAAAATCTTGTGATTATTCAGAATTGTTTTAATGTAATGTATACGAATAAATATTGTTAAGTAGCACATTATAAAAATTAGAAGAAATTGAAGTATCGTCATAAAATAACTTAAAATGTTAAAATATTCATATGATTATGAAAGGTTTTTAATATTTTTTACAATTTTACTATATACTAATTAACAAATTTACTGCAAAATTTTTACCTTATCGTATAAAAATATTTAAAAAATTTTCACAAATTTCTATTACGTTTATTATTATTATTATTATTATTATTATTTGCTGCCGCAGAATAATAAATTCAGCAATCGAATCGCAAATAATACTAGTAACTTCTTAGCAGTTAATGTTAAGTTTTTAGAAGACTGCAAAATAGTAATAATATTTTTACGTGTAAACCTTTTAAATTTACCACAGTCATTAAAATTAGGTGGAAGATTTAGAAACAATATTTCTCATTTCTGGAAACTTGTTTCCCTAGTCAATGGTAAGTTGCCGAAATGACCCTTCCAAACCAAATATATCATGGTGGGTCTTGGGTTTCCCGGGCCGAAGAGTTTCCGTTGTTTTTATAGTCTCCTGCTCCTTGAACCAAGGACCATATTCTTCCAACTTCTTTATCCAGGTATCTAAAATTGCAATGAGAGAAAAGTTTTATCAATATGTAAAATTGATTATAAAATATAAAAATTCTCATTGTGTGTAATTATAATTGTGTGGGAATGTCGCACAAGTCTCATAGAGCTCGATTTAATATTTAAAATTCACGTAATATTTTAACAATAACCAAATATACCAATTAGACGTAATATTTTCACACACATTTCATACCTGTGCTCTTATATATTAATCTACAACAATAAAAGATCCTTATGACTTAAGACAAAAATAATAATAATAATAATAATAATAATAATAATAATAGTCTTAACATCTTCATTTAGATACCATAGCATACATTACAATTCAGAAACTTTAATTTTCATTTTCAAATAAAACTATAAAATTTAAAATTCTTTATTACATTAGTCTGCTAGAGAAAAAAAATAGAAATATTAGTTAAATCTGATAGTAAAATATAAATGATATATATGACGCAATCTGCAATCAATCAATCCATCAATCATTCGATTACAAACATTACATCATTGATATGATCACTTGAACAATTTGTTCGATATTTACAGTTATGTCAATGGACATTTTCATAAAATTTATTATACTTTCGCGTTGAAAAGCATTTTTAATAGGCTCCCTCAATAACTAAATACATAATGTATCTAATAAAGAATGCACCATCGATTCATTATATAAGCAATATTTTGCAAAAGGTTATTTATTTTCTATAACTTACATAATTTAGTGGACCAATTTTATAGCTGAGGCTATATATTATGAATTTAACGAGATATTTAAGGATTGTGAATTTTTCATTATTGCCAATTATAAATTTTTAAATAATGTTATGCTTGATTATTATTATTATTATTATTATTATTATTATTATTATTATGGACTATCATAATTCAGTACACGTAATTTATGATCATTATATACTATTTACCCCACTTTGCTTATTATCGTTGAAAATAAAAGTCTTATCCTGTGTATAAAATAATATTTGAAAAGACGTATTTTGAGATATAAGGAGCAGCTGCAGTTATACAATCATATATATGTGTGTGTGTGTGTGTGTGTGTGTGTGTGTGTGTGTGTTCCACGTCGGCAAATTTTTCATGGATTTATCGCTGGGGTGCGTGCATCGAAGAAAAACGAAATATAAAAAGTAAAATAATGATAAAAAGTGGAATAGACAGACCATGGATAGCCTGGATCGGTCCAGCTTGACCACCATACTCCATTGGCAATATTTCTTTGGGCACGTACTGGTAAAGTTTCTCGATATTGCTGTGAACGAATATTCGATTCTTGATCTTCTCCTTCAACAGAGGCTTCACAAAATTAATAATCGTATCAACGAGCGGACTGACGTTTATCACGTGCACCTCTTTCAATTTCACGGGGTAGGCCTCTTGCACGCACACAAGAAATTTCTTCACGAGAGTCGGCGTGAACTTGGAAAAATGCGCGGGTGTAGCTACACTCGCGTCGAGGACGTAAACATCCCCGGCAACACCAACGAGTTCCTCTTTCAATCGAACGTCGCCGATCATCAAGACTAACTTCATTGCCTCGGCGACATTCGGTGTGGGTAAATTCTTATCGACGCCGCTCATTATTATTACACGCCGACCGTTTTTCGTTAGGCCAGGCAGAGGTGGCACGTACCTGAAAAGTCAAGTCGGTCTAAACGTTAGATTTCCTTCAAGCGGGAAGATTTAATTAGATAGTCTACTTTATTAGAACAGCATTTTCTTCTTTTTTTCTTTTTTTTTTTTTCATGGCGTATTTAATTATATGAATTTTCACGAGATTATGTATTAGAATTACGCGTACAATAATTGCGTATTAAAGATAATTATTATAATTTAAATTTAAGCCTAAAAATTAATTTCTTATCTCATTCTTAATGAATGTCGCTTGTAAATCAATTGTAACGTTCTTTTAATTCGTTTATTATCAATATCAACATCAATCAAAAGTAAGGAATTAAATATCCTTCTATTAAATTATCGTTCGCCTTTTTTATTCTTCATTTATTTTCATTTCGTCCTTTAACTAATTATTTAATCTATTAATACATTATTCTAAAACTTCTCCCATATCGTTTCTTCATTAAAGGAAGAAAATCCGAAAACGTTAATATAATTTTATTTAATATGAAAATGCACATATTATATCTTAACTAATTTTAAATAATATTACTAATCAGCATCCTTTTAATTAATTGTACGACATTTGCATACCGAGTTATTTATACTATTATAATGCTCAAATAATATTAAAATTATATCATCGGCTATTATTTAGTTTAATCAGAAATTATAAGCATTAATTTTATTATACATAGGGGCTCATAATAATTATGTTAATTCTGGTTAGACATTGAATATTTAAATATTTACAAAATTCTCTGCTATAAAGCCTTTGGTCTTGATGCTTTTAAATATTTGACAATATATTTATAATAATTTATTTATAATGGTACGTCAGATATAAATTAAATACATCTAATATTCTTAATAGTACATTAAAAAACTACGAGTAATCATTAAATAAAGAATTATATTGTATTTAATGTACTATTAAGAACATTTTTAATCTTTTTCAAAATAATAAGCATATCGAATAGATGAAATATCTAATAAAAATTATCATAATTCTTATTAAATCTGAAAATACCATTATCAAATATTTTTCTATTATGTATTATGATATATATATATATAGAATTATTAAACAAGTTCAGAAAAAAAATGCATTATTACAATTTTAGTTCTATCAATAGAAGAACTTTTGTCTTTTATATAATAAGAGATTTTGTCTCTGACTGTTTTAAATTTGTTAATAAAAAATTATATATAAATGAAATTTAATTTGTACACATTGCTTATAATCTCCTTCATTTCCGGTCTGGTAACGTCACGATTGGAAAAAAATTCTGGAACAAGAGCACGCATTGTAAAATACATGTCTAATTTCTTTTTACATTTTTCAAGAGAAAATTTACATCCACGGAGAAAAGTCATAAGCCGATGATCATCTGAAAACAAAAATATATTAACAATTGGGTAATGAGACTTAAAAATAAAAAATATTGTTAAAAAATTAGTTACACAACAAACAGTTTATACAACAATTATGTATTTGTATATCAAAAATACGAAATATATTATGAATATTCAAATACACTGTTTCGATTATTTTTGATATGGCTTTATTATCATCTAATTTAATGCAATAAATAAAAGTTGTTTGTATTAATAATAAGCTTTAGTAATAATATTTACAAATATATTTTGATATTGTAGCCTTTTTCTTCAAAGATAAACTACTTTCTCGTTCATTTTTATATTGATAAATTGACTTTTATATTCTTCTACATATCTTCTACATAATTCACTATGTAATCTTAATTATGCACAACTCACCGTCAAAATTCGGTAAATGTGGTTGTTTAGAAATCCATTCTTTAATGTACTCTAAATCGTTTTGACGCGTGTCAACATTTTCATTCAACTCCACGCGGATCAGCTTAGACATTTCTTCCGTCGGTTGTATTAAGAGCATCTAAAAGACAAAAAAAAAACAATTATAATAAATAATATTGTAAAAAAATTTTAATCCACATTCATAAACATACAAAGTACTTTCTAAAACCAAGTTATTCTAAATGATATATTATGGTATTTTCTTTAAAGCGTCTTAACATTTATTTAATAGAAAAAATTTAAGCATTTACGAAACTCGTATATATATATATATATACATATATATATATATATATATATATATATATACATATATATACGCAAAAAAGATGACTATTTGTATGTGACATATAGATATAATAAATATATGTCAGTTTGAATCATTATAGAAACATATATATATATATATATATATTTGTTTTAGTTTTATTACAAAATGCAACTAAGTTCAACAGTTTTAGGCCACGTATTTAACTTAGTACATAACTAAATAAAAAGTAAAAGTCTGGATCGATGGATTGTGATTAAATGAAACAAGCATTGTGGATAAAAATATAAAAAAATTGACATTAACAGTGATGGCATAAGGACAATCTTTATGCTTGACCCTGTGCTTACATTATCCAGTAACTACTTATAGACAATTTGGTATTGTCCTTACATAACTTTCATTATTAAGTATTTATTGTTGAGATGGACGAATGCGCTTGATGAAAAACATAAAATCAGATAAATAATAATTCTAACACTCTATCGTAGGTTTTAGTTTTTGAAATTCGAGAATTATTTTTCTTTTCATTTTTTTTTTTTTGGCTCACAAAAAAGTGTCTGTGTAAGACTGCAACGAGTTGGTCCTAAAATCTTTCCGCATTAATTCCATCCTTTCATATGATAATTATTAATAATGCAATAAATTGTAGCAAACATTACAATTTAAACAAGAAATTTTCTCATTTATCCGAGGCCTTGATAATACTTTTTAAAATGTACTTGAAATAAGTCAGACCTTTAATGTACAACTCATTAATTTGTTACTAATTATGACACGACAGAAACCTTGGAAAACTACGATAACTACATTACTTTCTTCAGTCAAGATTATGTGCTACAATAAGTTTTCTTTACAATTGACTGTAAGAAGAGTGCGTGCGAAGAAATTTATTGAATTAATAAGAGAAGAGGTAAATTGTACATTATACATATATACATATATATATATATAACAGACAATAATAAAATGTATTTAATTATTATAAAATGTTATAAATTTTATTACTAATTGTAGGTACTAATTTCGTTTATTGCTAAATATTTTAAGCATTCGCTTCCTGAAAACTGGATCAAGTTCGCTTACATATGAAAATTTTCAAAGTAATATATTCTTAAGATTTTTTTAGTATTTATTTTTTTTTTTTTATTTTACAACTGCATTATAATGAAATGAGAAATGTTTCGCTCGAAACATTACACCTCTATCTTTTAAAAATATTATATATAATATATTTTTATTCTTTATTATTTGAAAATAGAAAAATAATAGTAGCGAACCTTGTAAATGATAACATAAATATTCTCTTTACTCTTAATAAATAAAAATTGAATTTAGCTCTTATAGGGCGTAAGGTGATTAAATTATTTAATTAAATTCTATAAACTTATCGTGTATTTTATAATAGATTTACTTATTTATTTTCTTCATAAAAATAATTGATTAACAATATTGCTATGGATAATTAAATATAAAATATAAACGATTTTAATGTAAACAAAGTACAAATTATATCCATTTGTTCATTATCAGTAGAAAATATAAAGCATCGAATAAAGAAAAAAATACTTAATGTGACTTCCTCCTACACGATTATTTTTATATTTGAAATAAATAACAAATATATTTTATCTAAGAATTATGTTCTGTTTTTTATCATTACGATAATAATGAAATTTATTCCTTATATTATAGCAAAAATAAAATTTTTATACATAAATTCCTATAAAAAACAGCATTCATTAATGCCGAAAGACAAAGCAATGATTTAATCTTAATACCTTTGTTTAAATTATATTTAAAGTTAATAAATATATCGGATAGCTTTTAATGTCCTTATTTACTTGAATAATCAAATATCATCAATGTTTAAAAGAAAAAAATTATATCCATGTTAAATGGAGAGCTACAATAAATTGTATCGTGTTGAATTTTTGACAAAATATAAAATTTTATGGTTAAACAATAGATGAAAGATACATATAGTTTAACATATGCTTATTTATATAGAATTTTATTTATAAGTTAACATAAAAGTAATGTTGCGAGTCCATTTACATTACACTATTTTTAAACAATTCCACCACAAATTACATAAAACATGATTTATATAAAAAAATTGTAATTATATTTAATTTTAATTATATTTAATTGTATTAGTGACAAGTTGCATTTGCAAAAATTCATCTTCTTCACTTTATCTAAAGTATTTACATGACATGACATGGTAGGAGATAATTTGCGTTAAATTTCTATAATAAATTATTTTCATAGATATTTTTGAAATTGATGTATATGTCATATAGCATGTGTTTATTTAAAATTGAATAAACGTGTCAGGGAAAAATATTAAGTGACAGAATAAATTTTTCACAAGATTCATAAGATATATATATATATATATATATATAATACTCTTTATGCTAAAGTTTTTCAATTAACCATTTTTTTGTAAGTTTTGACCTTTTCTTTAGGAATGTGCTACACTTTATTGTTTGTACTTAATTTTTATACGTATATACGGTTATCAATCTTTGGTAAATTAAAAAAATTATTCTAGATGAAGGTAGCATTTCTTTTGAATAAACTAACGCAATAATTAAATGAACAAAAATTTAGAAAGTAATATGAGATTCGAGATTAGTCTCGGAGATAAAGATAATTAATGTTGGCATTTGCCTGACTTTAACTGAATTTTTTTCCACCTTACTTCGCTATGCTACAGAATTTCAACAATTTTACGCATGATGTTGTAAACGCAATATTTAAAGAACGTATACGCAAACATACTAATACACCTGACTGCAAACACAAGAGCGCAAAAATAAATGAAAGTCATATGAAATTGAAGGTTGCATAAGCAGTTTTACCTAGATTACGCCGCATGGACTTTTCGTAAGGATTTAATGCGCCAGCGGTGACCGGAGCGCGGATTCGCCATTGCCACACCATGACTTTCACTTTGACGTCTCGTTGCTGATGCTGCTCTCTTGTTGTTGCTGAGCAACTCGTGAATCAACTTCTTATTCATCTATTCGGTTTTAAATGTTATACACGCCGTATAATCGTGAATGACTTTATTACAAAGGCTGATTTATCCGCGATCTAACGAAAATTGCATCGCATCATTAGATTCTCTGCTTTCTTTTTCATGATTTATGGTTCTGATCGATTTTCTTTTTGGATATGGCTGAAGAAACATCGATACTGAATAGTGAATTTTTACAGTGATTACAATCTCAAGTGATGTTTTCTCTTTTTTCTTTTTTCTTTTTTGTAATTCAGTAATAAGTGGAACGATATTGTTGTAGTTTTTTGGTGAAAATTTCGCCCGCGCGCGCATGTGTGTGTGTGTGTGCGCGTGCGCGTGTGTGTGTGTGCGTGTGTGATTGAAGTAAATACGCAATTGAATCAAAGTTTGCGTAATCCGTTAAAAAAAACAAAAATAAATATAACTTAATTTCCTACGACATTATTTTAGTAGCTAACTTTCACAAAATTATAATAAACGTTTTATTTTGTAATTTCTTATTTACATTTCATTTTATTTACGATTTTTCTAAAAACGCATGTACTTTGATATCTTTCGAGAAAAAATAAATATATCCAACTTATAAATTGAATTAAGCTATTGTTTTCGCAAATAATCTCTAAAAATTGTTATTGTATTTTTTAAGTTATATTTTTTGGTGCAACCGCAACTCTTGTCATTTATATGTCAAATCCATTTGAATTGTTATACCTATGATGAGCTATAAAGGAAACGTTCAATTTCATTTCAAATGAGTTCTATAATTTTCTTTATTCTCCTAACTTCGTAATTCTATGAATTTTTAATGAAATTAGCTCTTGAAACTTTTTATTATCAGAGATAAAAATTATTGTATTGATATCGATGAGCTTATGAAATATTGTTATAAATAAAATTTTGATACGTAATGTAAAAAATATTAAACGATTGTTTCATAAAAAAAAATTTAATTTTAATGCCATGCACTATAGTGTTTATATTTGTAAAAACAATCTTTTTTGCTTACGATGTTAAATAAATTCTTAATTTTTTGTTACCCAAAGAGCATTATCGAAAACAGAAAATATTAATACTTAATAATATTTTATTACAAACATTGTATTATATCATTATTATTAGTACTCTATGGTTATGCTATAATAATTTAATAAATTCTCCCTACTTTCATTGCATTAACGAAAATTGTATTACAATGTTTACATAAATATTTTATAAAATAATTTTCAAAATTTTTGTATGGAGTATTAAGGATAAAATCATATAATTTCATGATAAAAACAATGTAATGCTTGCTAGTTGCTCATTATAGCTGAATATTTAATAATTTAAAGAATTAAATATATTCATAATGACATTTATGTTTACATAATCGATAAATAGGATTAATATTTTCTTTTTGTGAGTAACCTACATACACGACAACCTAAATTTCCAAAGAATTAAATTAAACTCAAGCAAAACACAACTAAGCTTTTAATTTTCTTTAATAGACTAGAATAGAAAAACTATATGTAATTTCTTTTTTTAACTTTGTTATTTCTATCAACGAATAAAGATATAAATTTAAAGAGAAAAAAAGCATGTAAATAGAGATATTAAAAACTGATTTATTATTAAATAATATATATTATATTAAATATAATGGAGTCATAAGGTACGAAAGTATGGATGGATATTTTTATAATTTCATTTAAAATCGTGTTTTATTTTTTCTTTAACGACGGAAGGAACAATAATAGAAATTCAGAGTTTTCTTTCTATTCGGGTCGGTGTTATCAAA